AGAGAGAGAGAGAGAGAGAGAGAGAGAGAGAGAGAGAGAGAGAGAGAGAGAGAGAGTCCACTGGTTTATGTTCTTGATTTATTTTTGCTGTCGTTTTCAGCATGTTTATTTCTATTTTTTATTCTGGCTTGCCAGCAGAAGGTGGAGAATTGAGGCTCAAGCTGCACTCGTCCACGTCCACGCAGCGGCCCTGCAGGTCCATGTAGCCGTCCCTGACGCACCTACAGGACACTGTCCCTGCTGCCAGGTCAGAGTGGCACGTGGCCCCAGGTTCGCAGGCCAGCTCGTAGCAGGGCAAGTAAGTTTCGCATCGCTCCCCGGTGAACTGGTCTGGACAGTGACACAATGGCTCCTCTTGTCTTACATCTGCCTGCAAAAAAAAATAACAATACAGTATGCATATTTACCCGAGTACAACAGGCACCTCTTTTCCGCAAAATTAAGGCAAAAAGTGGGATGCGCGTGGTATGCTGGCATTACATTTTTGAAGAATGAATAAACAAAGTGACCCTCACTTTATTGAGAAAATAAAGGGACCTAAACAAGGATTTTTCTAAACAATACATTCTCATAGCAATATTCCTATTTCAACAATATATGGTACTGTATTATGACATAGTCACACAATTCAATGCAGGTGAACTTCCTTTACAACAAATTCAGAGAACCAGAAAAAGTTCCCCATGGTTGAGAATTTCGTTACAGTGGTCGGTTGACATTCGTTGAAGAGGGAGTCCATCCGATCAACCTTCTTCCTGTCATAGGGTTTCAGTAATACTGCAGTTTCTTTCGCCCAAAATTAATTTGCAAACAGACTTATCAAGTTGAAAGTGTAACCTGGAACGGGTCGTAGGTCCTCTGTGGTTCGCAGGTGCCACCATTGAGGCACTGGGCAGAGGCATTGGTACACGAGATGCGGTAGTGGGCCCGGAAACCCACTCCACTTCCGGAACTGTCCGAGTGGAATCGCAAAGTGACCCTGGCCTCCTGGGCTCCAATGGCCGTCTTGTTGAACCAGGCTCCACCATTGGCAATGTGGTCACTGAGATTCTTGTTGGGCTCTGGTCCCGCGTGCATCAGAGTTACCACCTCGCGTCTGGCGCCACTTTCCAACACAAGCTCCACACTGTGGGAATAAGAACAATAAGTCGGGCTCAACAGTTTTATGCATATACACAGAACACCAAATAGCGAAGAAACCTGCAGATGAGATACTCGACCTCATTTTTTGCACATTTGGAGGTCTATTTTTCGTCTTACAGTCGATTTATTCTTGCCAAGGTCAACTTCAAAATGTAATTCTGCAAAGAGACCCCTTTTACATTGTTGTGAACTTTCGTGAGTCGCAGAAAAGCACATCCTTGATTTGAAATTTTTGTTGGAACCCCAATTATACACAGTAAAATTAATCTGAGGTCCGCATACAGAGCAAAACATTTTGCAGCTTGACATATAGCAAATTCAAGGATTGGAGTCAATTCACCAATAATAATAACCATCATAATACAGGTGGAACCTCTCTACAACAAAATTCAAGGGACTGAAAAAATGTGTTGCAGAAAGAATTTCATTTTATAGAGAACCCCTAAAGCAAGAGGAAAGAACCCAGCAATGGGGAAAAATGCATTGAACAGAGAATATTCTTGTATAGGCAAGATTGTTGTAGAAAATGTCCACCTGTGTTTTTCATTCTCATACATCCCAATGTGTGTAATAGCATTGGAAAGAAAGGGGTGTACACATACATGTCAGTTCTGCAATTGTACATTGTGAAATGTATTTCCTTTTATTTTGGTATCCATGCACAACTTATTTCTCTGTTTCCCATTCTGAAGTGATTGAATGCATTTGAATGGATTTGGGTTGGGTTGGGAGGGGGTTTGGACGTAGGAATGTTGATTGAACCTTGTGAATGCTGAAAAGCGGAAAATGAAGCTTTCTGTTGATTCATTCATTTGCATTATTACGCAAGTATTTCAAGTTGAAGGAATGAAAAATCATTGTTTTTGCCCACCATATTTAATTCAGTACTTAATCCGACCTTTGGCAGAGTGATGCCCACATATATTTCCAAGGTTTTTCAAAACACATTGTGTTGATCACTGGAGATAATCCTGGATCTTTTTCATCGCAATATTTTTATTTCTGAAAACAAAAACTTTCTTCTGCGTCTGACGCATGGGATTGAATTGGGAAGTCTGTGGAAGAAAAACAGCTTAACACATTTTGTCTCTTGAAAAAAAATTTTTTTTAGCACTTCACTGCACAGCTGGTGTTCATGTAACCTTAGGTCACATCAAGACTGCCCAACTACCACAAACACGCAAAGATTAAATAGCTTATCATTATGTTGCAATTATTGGTATTTTCAGGTACTGGGACTTTTCCTTTGAAACATATGAAATCCATTAACCGAGGCCCAATTTCAATGTTTTTTCCTTAATGCACTGACCGGTCTGTGTCTCCTTCGGCTTTTGACAGTCCATGAGGACTCAGACGATCCAGGTCAAGTTCGAAGGTGTCACCAGGAAAGAGGCGGAAACGCCACTCAACATTCAAGCTGGGTGGATATTCCGAATCCGGATACAGTGGACTCAAAATCACGCCAGCAGCTGCAGTCTGATACCTGTTTCACACCAGAAAATTACCCATTCTCAAGTTGTCACTGAGAATATTCTCTTCATAGACTAACTAGGGCCAAGTGTCTAAATTCTTTTGCATAACAAAAGTATAACACATTTTCCCAAAATGCATCCATATATCAAATGAGTGACATTATTGTAAAATATTATTGCTGTGCTGACTTTAGTGTCTTGTTTTCTGTCCCGGACCGAAGCGACGCAGCTCCAGCATCCTGTAGAAACCGGACTGGGAAATGTGTTGGATTTCTGAGGCCTGTGAGCCTGCCAAAAATCCTGTTTTTGCCAGACTCACTGAGCCTCACTCAAGGACAAGAAGTGGTCATCAATTCTTCAATTTTCCTTTATTAGCCAAGCCTGAGCCAGGAAGAAATCACCCCATTTCTTCCTGACCCAGTCCAAGCACCTGGGTATAAAATCCTTCATTCCTCTTTGAGAGGAGAAGTCAAGAAGTCAGAACCTAGTGTTAAAGGGCCTTTTAACCTAAATTAAATTAATCAATCATTATTCTGAGCTAACCATTGACTCTGCCATTAAAACCATTGAATTAACAGCCAATTGATGAACTGGGCAATGAGAATGAACTCCTCTGAAAAGANCGTGGTATATACCACTTATTATTGAAACGTCAAGAAACTAAATAAAGGGTTGGGATTGGTTACCTGATCACCGGTTCACCAGCAAAAACGTGTTTCACTATCATCATCAAAAACGCCAATATCATGGATACATGGTACACCAAAGACACACTACTGCACATCTTGACTGCTGCTGGTTTTGTTGTGCCACTGATCCCGGCCAAACGTTTACTGTGCTTATCACCAGGTGCCTCTTCAAGACCGGGCCCAGAGACTCCCAGATTTTTTGTTTAAACTACAACAGGTCAAAGTGAGGGCGGTTCACCAGTAAAGAATAAAAAAAGTTTCCAGAAATGCATTTTTTGAAAGGAAAAAATTATCAGTTTGGTGTTAATATTGATTCTTGTTGTTTTTAAAATTGATGATCAGGAATACTTGAAAAAAAATGAGATCCTGTAAAAAGAAAAGTTGGACTTTGCAAACACAAAAAGGCCCATGTCAAACATCTCCCAATGTAATTTTTGACAGTCTGTCTGAATTTCCTTAACCCTCAGACAGCAGAAGGTTCTTTCTCAGTGCACGGCAGTGTTGGGATTTTTCCAGCGGGCTGCGCATTTCAGTTTGACCCAAGGTTACTGAAACATGCCCAGGTTGAGGAGGCCTAAGTTGGGAAAAATCCAGGAGGCAAATTTTCTTTTGTTTTCAAGATTTTCCCATGAAAATCCTATGCCAGGAATGCAGGAAAAAATGCCACCCAGTAAGGGATTTTTTTTTACAAATTTTCATTGAAAATTTTCTGCAGGATTATATTGAAAGAAACCTTGGACTTTTTCCCAACTCAGGCCTTTGTACAAAAGTAGGTTTTTTTTTCATTCCCACTGCCCAGTGGCACAAAATTTTGCAAAAGTATCCCAACTTTGCCTCACAAGGGTTAAGAACAATTTAATATTGACCCCCTAACTGAAATATTTTCCCCCTCAGCAAGCCTCAGAATTTTGGAGCCTTTGGGTTATCATATACAGATCACCTGAAAAATAGCAAACCTAATCACATGTATGATTTTCAAAAAGGGAGTGATTTAATAGTGAAGCAAATGCAAATTTGCTTCTAAGTTCAGCACACAATTCTATTCTTTAGCAATATAGAATTTCAAGGCTGAGGAGATCACAGATTCCTGTAATTCTCTTTTTTTTCTCACCAAACATGCTGATATTCATTATGCAAAAACTTTCCAAGCCAAATTTTGCTTGGGTCCTGCTGAGTTAACTTGAGGAGGTCTGACTTTAGTTGTAGCTTGTGAGGGGAAAACTATCAGAAGTGCATTCCAAATGCGAAAATAATTTTTCGTATTTGGTTTTGTTTCCAAATCATTTTTTGTTCAAGCAAGATATGAGGTTTTGAATAATTTTGACACAATTTTCGGGGTGAAAAGATTCTTCAAAGCCTAGTCACACCGATGCAATGAAGTGACAAAAAATCTGCAGAATATTTTACATAGCGTTTTTCGAAGTATTCATTCCAAATTGAAAAAAATGTTTGTACCTAAATAGATGAAGAATAGAAAATTTATGGCCGAAGAATAAGCAGCCTCGTTTTGACACGTCGTCATTGCTTCAAACCGAGGAACAGAAGATTCTGAAGGCTGAGAAAGGAAACAGATGCTTTGCTTCTTGTCGTGATCATACAAATAAAATGGTACTTGATCATACGGTTCCTTTTCAATTTTTATCTTTTTTTTTTGTTGCACTTGACTTATTGACACAGGATGATCTCGGAAGCGTCTGTTGAACCCGAATCTGCGAACGTTTCTCTCCGTTTCGCTTGACGGGGTAAAAAGAAAAATAACATTTCATTTTCATTTTGAAAGAATAAGTATAACTTCAAGGAGCTATAGTCAATACACGTCCTCGTATTTTTTTGCATTCGCATGCCGAATTTTTCTCTGGAATAATACAGTAAAATATCCTGAATATAATATTTCCGCGGAAAATGAAAAATTAGCCTTTGTTGAGGATCTTGCCAATATAATTTTAAAATTTCAGTGAGTCAAACAGCATTTTATGAACAGCAAATTATCCCAGCATTTTACTCGAGATCTCTTGAACAACATTCCAGAAATATGATTCAAGTCGTATGACAATTATTCCAATCAATTCAAAGATTTGTCTTGAGAGTGCAATTGTTTTCAAAGTTTTTTTTTAAATTTTTATTCAATGTGACAGATTTGCTATTTCCTAGCATTGGAGGTGTTCGGTTTTATAAAAATTTGGTACCTGAAATACCAAACTGATTCATTCCAGCATGAATTATCATTATGCTGCTGATGTTTTATCATAAAAAACTTGAATCCTTTTAATCTTTAATTTTGAAATTTTAATCCTTCCGAAATGGCCACAGACTATCATGCACTTAAAAATATCTGTGTATGTTAATTAGTCATTAGTATAAAACTGCAGTTTTAAAATATATTCGTTTTAAATTGAGGGATTCAATTTTTCTAAATCCTGATTTTTTTCTCATTTGTAAAACCCACGGTGAATTCGAGCGTAATTCCTAGAAATGTTGTCATCTGAATAAACAGAACAAACCCAATAGACGCTTTCACATGGTCGAACCCGAAGCAAGATTTATTTTAAATGGCCGTGAAGTTCATTGGCACCTGGGTTACAGTTAAATAGCACCGTGACGTCATCCACCCGCAGAATGGAACAAGGAAAAGTTGGAAGCGAGTTCACCACCAACAGTGGACCATCTGTGACAAGGATTTATTGGTGATGTAGGTGGCACCACACCTGGAGGGGTTGGCAAGCTTGTTGGACGAGCATCTGGGCTTTACTGGGGTATTTCAACCCCCCACCTGAGGGTTCTGTGAAAGCAGGAATATAATACTGAGATGGAAAAAAAAATGCGTCCTCAATTATGTTCAAATTCAAAGTACAGAGAACCCCATCATGCGGACACCTCAAAATGAGGACAATTCAGCATAGGGACATTCATTTTTCAATAAAAAGGGCATACAAAAGGCCATCAGACATATGGACACAGGCTTGACATTGCATGATAAAATTGCCAATGAATTTCACAAAAATTGTCTTATATTTGGCTTGATTGCAAGAAAGAGACACTGCATTTCCAACCTTAAGATTTATGCAAGAAATCTCAGTGTAAAACAAAATTTAAATCATGAGTCTCCCTTGATCTTGGCACCTTCATGCAGGTAAGTTCAGGTATAAGCAGGAATAAAATAATGTTGTCAACTAAATATACCGTGTTTGCTATATAGGAGAAGTTGTAAAATTTATCTTTAAATGTAGAAATAAGCAAGTTTTTTTTAAAACTGAAACATGGACATCAGATTCAAATAAAGACAATTAATCCTCTTATATAATTACAATATTTCGTTTGCCTGGGTTGAGGACCTTTACAAAATTTTACTCAATATATGTCCTTCTTATTGGATATCTTGATTTAATTGTCTCAAGGTCTGCAAGAGCAAAAAAAATTGTCAATTGAAAACCACTCTGTTTGTTAGGTGAAGTTTTACAATTTATTTTGAAATGTAGAAAACAATCATTTTTAAACTGAAAATTTGGTATTAGATTTGAGAACAAAAACAATTAGTAATTTTTCTCAATATTCAGTGAGAATGAACACCTCCTTCTCATATAAAAAATGGAGGCAGCTTTACCTGTGTCAACTCCACACTCCTTATTCACATGTCCCAGTCTGCTTCATTCTCCTGGTACACTTGTCACAACTATTTGCACATCAATACAGTGAGACCCCGAGATGCAGACGTAATTGGTGTATCAAGAGTTTCCCCAAGTCAAAATGTCCCTAAGTTGAATCTTGTTTTCCCATAGACATACATTGTATAATTTTTAATTGGTGTTTTATGGAAGAAATATTCTTCAGAATTTCATGAAAAAAAATGTTTGCCACTTGAATTTGATTCAATGAATATCTTTTCAAACCAATAAGAACATTTGGAAAGAAGCACGAAATGAAAATCAATTTAAAATTGTCAGCTTGTCTGAAAAAATCGTTCAATAAGTTTTACCTCTGTACAGTAAATTGAAAAGTTGGCATCTGGAAAAATAACATCCATGTCACAAAGAGAGCTAGAAGCATGTACCTCTGTGCTATAGGGAATTTTTAAATTAGCTGAATGGATGCAAATATGATGGTAAAAGTACCAAAGAATTTTTCTTGCATAGATCTTAGGTTAAACATCTGTTTCTTGCAATTGAGCCTTATAAAAATAGATTTTCCTAAAATTTATTTTGAAATTTTACCCTGCAATGTCCCCAGGTCGAGTCAGTGTCCTCATGTTGGGTCTTTTTTATGATTTTTTTGTTAAAAATAAATGTCCCCATGTTGAATTGTCCCCATGTTGAGGCGTCCGCATGTGGGGGTCTCACTGTATGTACTTCACAAGCACATCTCATTGATGCATTTTTGGATGCTACAGGGTTTTCCTGGTTGGTTTTAAGACCATTTCAAATGGCATTCTTCTTTTAAAATACGCGTTGACTCAACTTGATTCAGGTAAGCCAAAAAATGATTTTGTGAATAAAAAACACTATGTTTGTTGGGAGAATAAGTGGCACAATTTACCCTGAATCGTAAAAACACGAATTTTTTGAACTGAAAAATTGTTGCCACATTTGATTAAAAACAAATATTCCACTTCTCAGTATTGGGTGCCGCCTGGTTTGAGGGCCTTTTCAAAACCACAGTGTAGTATATTATTTGTTCTTCTTCTAGGTTGTATATTGACTCAAATGGGTTCATGTAAAAAGAAAAAAGAATTTTATCAATTAAAGACATTTCATTTGTCAAGAGTAATCTTATAATCTATCTTGACATATAGAACACTGTCTTTTACAAGTGAAAAATTGACTCAAATTGATTCAGTTAATAAGCAGAAACAAAATCATTTTTTTCAATGAAAAACGCTCTGTTTGCCAGGAGAATATAAGTGGTACAATTTATCCCGAATTGTGAAAAACGATTTGTTTTTACTGAAAAATTGATGCTGGATTTGAGTAAAGACAGTCATTACTCTTCTCAGTATTCAGTACCTCGTTTCGGAGC